GCTGCTGCTGCTGCTGCTGCCTCAAGCGTGTTGTGTTTTATGTTCGCTGCTGCTGCTGCTGCTGCTGCTGCTGATGGTGCTGATGGTGCCGATGGTGCTGCTGCTGATGGTGCTGCTGCTGATGATGCTGATGGTGCTGCTGCTGATGGTGCTGCTGCTGCTGATGGTGCTGCTGCTGGTGATGATGGTGATGATGATGATTATGTTGCTGTTCTTTGTAGCTGCTGTTGCTGCTACAGCTGGCGTTTCTGCTGCTGTTGTTATTTATTGCTGCTCGTGTGTTGCTGCTGCTGCTCTGCTGCTGCTGCTGCTGCTGCTGCTGCTGCTGCTGCTGCTGCTGCTGCAGGGTGTGTGGATACGGCTGTGAAGGGGCTGACGGCCTCCCTGAGACAGCTGAAGTCGATGCTGGGCCCCCACTGCCAACTCAGGGTAAGGCTGCTGCTGCTGCTGCTGCTGCTGCTGCTGCTGCTGCTGCCGCGGTTGTTGTTGTCGTTGCTGCTATGGGTGTAGCTGCTGCTGCTCTTGCGTTTGGGTTGCATGGGGATAGAGACGAAACGACAAAGGCAGAGAGACAGACAGAGACAGACAGAGACAGACAGAGACAGAGAGAGAGACAGAGAAAAGGAGAGAGACAGAGAGAGACAGATAAAGAGAAATAGATAAAGAGAAATAGATAAAGAGAGACAGATAGAGAGAGAGAGACAGAGACAGAGACAGAGAGAAAAGGAGAGACAAAGAGAGACAGATAGAGACAAAGAAATACATACTTGTTGCTTCTTTTATTTATCACATTTACACCTTTACATATATACATATATATTTATTTATATATTTATTTATTTTTATATTTATATATAAATATATTTATATATTTATATATTTATATATTTATATATTTGTATATATATATATTTATATATTTATATATTTATATATTTGTGTGTATATGCAGCTGCACGCGGTGGGTTATTCGCTGGGGGGCGCAGTGGCGCTGCGGGCAGCCAACATCATTTGTGCTGAGCTGCTGCTCGTCAAGGCGCAGCAGCAGCAGCAGCAGCAGCAGCAAACCCACGCTTTCTCTCCTCTCAGCTGCAGCAGCAGCAGCAGCAGCGGCAGCAGCAGCAGGAGTAGGAGTAGGAGTAGTAGTAGGAGTGGGAGGAGGAGGGGGAGAAGCAGCAGCAGCAGCAACTGCAGCAGCAAAAGAAGGAGCAGCAATAACAGCAACAGCATCAGCAGCAGCAGCAGCAGAAGTAGAAGCCGAAGCAGAAGCAGAAGCAGCAGCAGCAGCAGCAGCAGCAGCACTGCAGCAGCAGCAACAGTCGCTGACTCTTCTTTGTTTCTCAGCCCCACAGCAGCAGCAGCAGCATCTCCTCCTCTGTCTGCTGCAGCAGCAAACTATTTCTCTCCCCTACAAGCCGTACAGACCTGGCCCCCGCTACCTAGCAGGGAACACAGCAGCAGCAGCAGCAGCAGCAGCAGCAGAAGCAGCAGCAGCAGAAGCAGCAGAAGCAGCAGCAGCAGCTGCAGAAGCAGCAGCAGCAGGAGCAGCAGCAGTATCCATGGTAGGATGATGGGGAGTAAGGGGTCCCGTCGTGCGCGCAGCAGCAGCAGCAACAATAGCAAACGCCACAGCAGCAGCAGCAGCAGCAGCAGCAACAGAAGCAGCAGGAGGAACAGCGAAACCGCAGCAGCAGCAGCAGCAGCAGCAGCAGCAGCAGCGCATCTACAGCCATTTGCATCTCCTCTACGGCCCTATCCTGCTGCAGCAGCAAATGCATTTGAAAGCAGAGCAGCAGCGTTCTCCCCAATTGCTGCTGCAACCAGCAGCAGCAGCAGCAGCAGCAGCGGCAGCGGCAGCGGCAGCAGCAGAAGCAGCAGAAGCAACAGCAGCAACGACGATGGTGACTATCTTGCTGCTGCAGCAGCAACAGGAGATTTGGGTTTTCCTCTGCGTTCCTTTCTCCGCGACATGGCAGCAACCAGCAGCAAACAGCAGCAGCAACAGCAGCAGCAGCAGCAGCAGCAGCAGCAGCAGCAGCAGCAGGAGCAGCAGCAAGAGCAGGAGGAGGATAAGAGTGTTGTTGTGTGTGAGGAGTTTGTTGGTGGGGTGCGGTTCATGGGCCTGCTGCTGCTGTCTTCCTTTACTTCTACTGCTGCTTGTGCTGCTGCTTTCTTTCCTTTGCCGTCGCCGCTTTCTTCTGTCTTTGAGTCGGTTATAGAGCTCATACAGGACGCCAACACGGTGTACGTACACCCCAACACACACACTATATATTCACCTTTTTGGTTTTTTCTTTTTTGTTTATGTGGTGATGATGGTGCTGCTGCTGTTGCTGCTGATACAGTTCTTGCCCAGCCTGCTGCTGCTCCTGCTGCTGCTGCTGCTGCTGCTGCTGCTGATGCTGCTCGTGTTTCACAGATACTTCTTCCGCTGCTGCTGTGTTGACGCAGCAACAGCAACAGCAGCAGCAACAGCAGCAGCATCAGCAGCATCAGCAGCAGCAACAGCAGCAGCAACAGCAACAAGAGCAGCAACAAAAGCATCAACATGTTTTATTTATTTTCTTTTTTTTTGTTTTGCTGCAGCTGGAACAATGAAGTGGCGATGCGCAGCTTCTGCGCCACCTTAGCTGCAGGTAAATACCAGCAGCAGCAGCAGCAGCAGCAGCAGCAGCAGCAGCAGCAGCAATAGCAGCAGCAGATATGTTTTGTATGTTTTGTATGTTGTTTGGTTGTTTTTGTGTTGTATGGTGATGGTGTTTGTGTGGGTGTTTATTCTCTCTTTGCATTTCTTGGTTTTGTTCGTGCTTGTTGCTGCTGCTGCTATTGCTGCTGCTGCTATTGCTGCTGCTGCTGCTGCTGCTGCTGCTGCTGCTGCTGCTGCTGCAGGTGGTGTGTTGTTTCGGGGTAGCAAGCTGGTGATAGCGCACGGCACTGCTGATGGGGTCGTCCCGCTTTGGATGGGGCGGCGTCTCTTCTCTCTCGCTGGGCAAACGGGAGCTCTGCACCAACGCAGCAGCAGCAGCAGCAGCAGCAGCAGCAGCAAGCAGCAGCAGCAGCAGAAGAGACAGCAGCATCAAAGGCAACAGCAGCAGCAGCAA